AGTAGCAAGGATTTACTCAACAATTCTAATAGCAATAGCACTTAGACTTATATATCGCTTTACAGTGCTTTACAGGCTTCTCTAAGTGGTTTACAGAGTCAGCATATTGCCCCCCAACAATCTGGGTCTTCATTTTACCCACCTCAGAAGGATGGAAGACTAAGTCAACCTTGAGTCTGGTGAGATCCGAACTGCCAAATTGCAGGCAGCCGGCAGTCAGCAGAAGTAGCTTGCAGTACTGCACTTTAACCACTGCGCCACTGGGGCTCCTAATTTTTATTTATTTATTTTATTATTAGTTTGGCAAACAAGTACAAGATAGCAGGTATAAATATGAACATGGACATGAACGAAGGAAATGAATACAAATAAATAGGGACAGGGAAGGTAGGCACGCTGGTGCGCTTGTGCACACCCCCTTTACGGATCTCTTAGGAATGGGGTGAGGTCCACGTTAGACAGTTTAAGGTTGAAGTTGTGAGGGTTAATACTTGTATTCATATCTAGCCTTTTCTCTAAAGAAGGGCATCTCCTTTTTATTTTTTTTATTTATTTGTCCAAGAAAATTTGAACAAAGAAAACTAGAAAATCAAAATGTGACAGGGATGACAGGCACGCCGGTGCACTCACTCACTCACTCACAACTTAGAGACCTCTTAAATATGGAGTGAGGTCCACAGAAGTTAGAATTAAAGCTATAAAGCTTCCTGTTTTCTACTTACAACAATCCAAATATAATATTTAAGATGATAGTAAACCTCGCTAAACATTGCACACTAATTTCATAACTGGGTCATCATAAGTTTCATCATTCCAACTTCATATACTGGAAGAATTGAAATCGTGCAGAGATCAGCCTTCTCCAAGTAGGCCATTTGAGGATGATGGAAACTTTATTTATTTATTTATTTATTTATTTATTTATTTATTTATTTATGTTCTTTTTTATACAAAGTCAGCTTATTGCCCCCACAAACTGGGTCCTCATTTTATCTACCTCGAAAGGATGGAAGGCTGAGTCAACCTTGAGCCTGGTGAGATTTGAACTTGCAGTAATTGCAGGCAGCTGGTGTTAACAGAACTGTATTCTTACATATCAGGAGGGTATCCAGTTGGGAAAGTGGCTAATTTCAACTTTCTCTTCCTTTTTCATCTCATGCAGATATTGTTATTTCTCAGTTTTATTGTTATGATTCATGTCTTCTCAAAAGGAACTGCACAATATTATAAGGGCCTCTATTTGGTTATTTATAGTTTACTTTGGTTGACTATGGAAAACTCGAGATCGCTATAATTTGCAAGATCTCACTCAGAATGAACAGTGAAATTCTAAACTTATTCAATGGAATTTTCTTTTTGGGAAATCACTCATTTTATATTTGTTCAACAATGATCAATGCTCAGCCATTGGCTAAATACCCAGTCATAAATGTCACATATGGGTTGGTGAATTACTGTGTTGTTTTGATTGAAATTGTAATGTAACCTGACCAAACCATGTTGAATAAGTATGAGATTCTTACCTTCATGATTATGAGGGCAGAAAATAGTTCTAACTTCACACCCCAGCTCAGTGTATTGTTAATGCTGATTTATTTTGAATTAACAGATGCATGTTGAACAATAGAAGGTTTTCCTTTTAAGTGATCAGGGTGAGCATTTGGTCCCTTCTGCTGTTCAGATATGCTTATTTTTATCTAAGCAACCTGAAATCAAAGCTGACATACTACTGTACAGTTGTCCTGCAAATAATCTGCATAGTTAGGCTGAGATAACTTAGCTTTTATTTCAATGTATATATGCATGCATGTATATTCCATTCTCCTCTCCCAGAATAAAAAGATAATGGCTGAACTTATGGGCAAGGCTCCTAATAAGTAAGACACTGTTTTCTTCATGGAAAACATATTAAAAGCTTAAAAAATTCATCTGCAATGCACAATGTTAGTAATATTTTACTTTTAAAAATTGCCCTGCATTCTGTTACTCAGAAATTTAGGAAACCATTCTTGTATTTTGAAAAAATATAAACCTTCTCTCTCAAATGATTTATTGTACACTTACATGAATAAAATAAAAAATGAATGTATGTATACTGTATGATCAAAAATGCATATTACAACCAGAATATTTAAATCTTGAGAGATTAATAAAATAAAGTATCAAGAAATGATTTGATCTGAGTTTAGGTATATTCATCTTCCAAACCTACCAGGATTTTGCAAGAATTAGCAATTCAGTTATGTAATATAATAAACCAGAATATTTAACAAGCACTACATATATTCAGATATTATGATGGATTACAACTACCATGTTCTCCAGCCAGTCATTTGAACAGGTACTAGTTTGGGCTGGTGAGTATAGTAGTTAATAGAGTAATTAAACAAAATGAAGATTATGCAAATTTATTGTACACTTGGCTTGGTTACTTGTGCTTGGGTTTTGTTTTGCTTTGTTTGTTTATTGAAAAAAAAGAGTAAGCATAGGAAGATGCCTTGTCATTCATCACTTAAATTCTTTATCATTTTATTATGGTTCCAAATATCTATTTATATGTTTTCAATATTTCAAACAGTGGTTTGCACATAAACATTTTGTGTTAAATAATAGCAGTTCATTGGCTGCTATTGATGTCCTAACCAGAATGTAATCAAAGTTGGAATGAAAACATAATTCACAATTGTGAGGAAAAGAAGCAACTATATTTTAAAAAATCATTTAAAAATTGTACTATCTACATGCATATTCTGGAAAGATATGAGATGCCCAATCGTATTGCTTTATGAAGGAATCCTTTGAATATGCTAAACAGTTCCTCCTCTCCACCAACCAATGAACTCATAGTCCCTAAGTACGTACATTCTGTACACATTTATATATGGACAACTTCATTATTGTGCCAGGCCATCTGTGGCAGTATCAAGTAGCTTTTGGAGGAAAATATAGGACAGGATAGGAACATCATACTATTACTAAAACAGTTGGGAAAACGCTTCCTAGCTACTATTTAAAGCCTCTATTCCCTGCAAAGATTTAGCATGAATACAGAAAGTGTGGAAGTGTCAATTCCCCCAAAATATATGCAGACTCCACTACCAACACCTGGGATGCATGGCTGTCTCTACAGATCCTGAAAGGGACAGCTGTAAATACATTTAATCAAAATTGTTGACAATTGCAGACCTGTAGTAACGCCTTATTATTGTGCCTAATCATTGAATGCTGGTATGCTTTAAAACTCTCTGCAGCAGTCCTTAATGCTCAACACATTTATTTATTTATTTATTTTATTTTATTTTATTTTATTTTATTTTATTTTATTTATATACCGCCCTTCTCCCGAAGGACTCAGGGCGGTGAACAGCCATAATAAAAACAATGTACAAAATAGAATTTAAAAGCAGATTAAAATAATTAAATCATAGGTCGAATTTAAAACTCTCATTATAAAACCAATTTTAAAACCCCATTAAAACCCAATTAAAATCATTTATCCCATCAGAGCAGCTTGCTGGAATAACAGGATCTTCACTGCACGACGGAAGGCGCGGAGGTCGGGGATCCTTCGTATGTCCGGGGGTAATTCATTCCAGAGGGCAGGGGCCCCTACAGAGAAGGCTCTCCCCCTGGGGGTCGCCAGTCTACACATAAAATGCTCATTGATGCAGAAGGATTGTTGGATGTTTGGAGATGAAGCGTGTATGTTAGGCCACTATTGTTCTAATGGGAAAGTAGAAATGAAATCCAGGCTATATAGTAAATGCCATAATTTCAAATGAAAATCATCAGGACCCTGGATTAAGTGTATCATTTTTGGAGTACTGCTGAAAATAAAAATTTTGCAACTTTTATTGGCATCTGTATTTACATGCATTGCTAAACCCTTTTCATTGATTTTTTTTCTGAGGCTCAATTTTTCACTGATTTTTTTTCCACTAAATTTTCTTAGCTGTCATGGAACTGTGATGTTAAAACTGTAAGATGTTTTAAGAGGCTTCACAGTACCAGAACAAAATAGAGATAAGAAAGTAAGAAAGGTATTTTTTCATTACATGTCTCATGTACACATTACAAGTCTCTGGAAAAGTCAGCAGATAAGATAAGATATGTATCAAATCAGGCTTATTGCATCAACCAAAAATTTCACAGATCACAAATTACCATTCACTCCCTAGAATACTTTGCTTAGATGTTAATTCAGTATGGTAATAAAAATGTGGCCAAGGCTACAGTCTGGGCAAAAATACTAGCAGGAATCACATAATCTATTGATATTTGACAAATCAAGGAGTCCTTTTAAGTCTGCACAGTCAGTTATCTCCAAGTGGGTCTTTCTGTGGGCAGAAGGCAAAAAGCAACATCATAGTAAATGCATGTGAGTTGGGTACTTACACTAACTCAAATAGCTCAAAGAAGGACACTCAACCCATAGATTATTGCAATATTATTGCATATCTCTGAATGGACTTGTTGAAAAACAGGAGAGAAGAAGTCATGAGAATTTGAAACTCAATATTATCTTCAACTACCCTCTTTAAAGTCTCACAGGAAACAGTTTATGGAAGACTTCCATTCATGCCTCTGTCATAGTCTAACCACTTAATATTTTCCTAGATGTTTTGTTGCAATTAGAATTTACTGTCTAAATGATTAACAGCTAAACTCCCAGGCAATTCTGGAACCTGGAATCTCACACATCTGGAGGAAAGAAGTTGGGAAAGTTGTTCTAACTGGGAAGTTAGCACAGTAGCTTAAAGTACTGATAAAAATTTGCTGGGATGAGTTCTTCACCAAATTATTTTTCTCATCCAAATTAGGATGAAGCTGAGCTTCAGTAATCAAACAAAACTTCAGATCTACCTACTACTGACGTTCATGGAATTTGCACGTGCATGACTGAGGTTCTCAATCACAGTGTGCATCTGCTTTGGAATTCAAGCAAAATTTTATATGAGAAACCCTATAAGAGAAAATGCCCAAAGGAGCAAAGAACTTACCACATTTCATCATCCCTACTTCATAACATTTCCGGAGTCGGCAGGCCTGGCAACTTTTGCGTCTGTTTTTATCTATTGTACATTGGTTTGTCGCTGGACAAATATAATCATTGTGCCCTGGAGGGAGGGATAAAAGAAGGTACATTTTAAAAATACTGTGATAAAGTCTTAGGTTTAGTCCTTGTTTTTGAGAAAAGGTATTTTATTTCTTGAGTTAGCTGGTTAGACTGTCCTTGTAGAACCCCTAGACAGCAGCCATGTGAAAGGCTTCCAATCCCAAATGAAGGCTGAGTCCTGCAGGCTGAGATGACTGCATACTGAACAGAGGAAGAATGACCCAGAAGTGTTACTTGTGTCTTTGAGCTAACAAAGAGTACCTTAGCAACACAGAACATGAGGAAAATGTGTTCTCTTTATCTTCATGCAGTGTAGATGCAGGTTTCGTTACGGCTGCATGTTCCTTAGGGCTGTCTCATTGCATTACTTTGCTTAACCAGAGCATTTAGGATTGTAGCTTGCCAATTGAGAAGATCCAGAATGAACATGTCCTCCAACTAACAAGCAGCTGGAGAAAGATCTTCGTTGGATGCAGGGGTGCTTAAGGAAAAGAATAGAGTAATAGAAGTCTTATACAGTAGGTGTATAACCTTTGAGAACTTATTTGAAAGGGTGGAGAAATAAAGCATGTAAAAGGCCTAAAGAGCAAGACAATCCTGTACGCTTCAGTTCCTAAAATGAAAGCAGCAGATGCATTTTGAAAGACCTTTTAGTAGAAACAGGCAGATTGTGGCAAGCGTATCATAGAAAAGGACTGTGATCAGCAAAAGAGGCTTTTGTTTTGTTTTTGCAAACTACAACATGAGAGAATTAAAACATTTCCTTTTATTTTGGTAGGTTTCTCATCCTTGGACTAGATTTAACCTCTCTACAAAGATTCAGCAGAGACCAAGGAGAGTCTGGAAAGACAGTTATTTCCTTCTGTGGAGAAGTAGAGAAATGCCAATTTGTGGGGAAAGTTCTTATATTCCCACCAATTCATAGTGAGAATTACTCAAAGCAGATGGTTTTTGTTAAATTTATTTGACAAGCAGGCTTCTTTTTAAAGGGGAAGTTGATAATACAAATTCTGGGCAAATGATAGTGAAAGCAAATTATAGCTGTTCAAAAATGAAGGCAAATGAAGGCAAATTTTCTTAGTGACATTTTGTCTCAACCTTTGTCTAGAGGTTATATATGATGTTTGGGGTTGAATGCCTGGACTTAGACCATGATGTTCTGAGTGAAATGTCTGATAAGACATCAAGGTCAGTAGGAGGCTATGGGCAAATTTTGCTCTCCTAGTTTAGCCTAAGAATGATTGTGAATATGAGGAAAAGGAAAAAGATCATGTAAAAATGTAATTGGTTGGTACTAAACAATAAGTTTTACCATTCTACCTCTCCTATCTTCTTAAGGATTACCATAATAATCCTCAGTTTATGTTAAGAATAAAGACAGATTCTTATTAGATTTTTATTATAGACTTTGGCTACAAGAATAAGAACTTGACATGCATTTAAGACCTAGATGCAGATTACAAAAATGATTGTTTATCTTTTCTTATATTGTAGATGTGTATTCCATTACTGAATCTCAGTGTCCTAATAAAATATAACTCTGCTTAACATTTAACCAGTGGAATGGCTTGTCTTCAGAAGTTATGGGTGCTCCATCACTGGAAACTTTTAAGAAGAGACTGGATAGCCACGTGTATGGAATGGTATAGGGTTGGTATAGACTAGAAGACCTCCAAGGTCCCTTCCAACTCTGTTTTTCTGCTATAATCTTCATTTCATCTGTTTTCCTCACCTTCAGGTTTATAAGTTCTAACAAGCACACATATAAAAGTCCAAAGTGATAGAGACAAATTTGATGGTTACTTGGAAGAAAAAAAGGGTGGAAGGAGAAGAATACAACTGTAAACCACTCCTTCTTCCTGAAAACCACTTGTCCATTCCAAATCTGCTTCCAAAATGGCTTCCTCTTGTAAGGAAATTGAATAGTTTCCTCACATTATTCAGAGATGTCATTCCAATTAAAAGGCAGCTTGGACTCTATCAGTTTTATCATGTTTGTGCATTTAATGAAGGGGCTGGTTTATACATTGATGCTGATACCAAAAAGAACACAAAAACCCCAACCCAATTTATTACTTGTAGAAAAGTTTGTTTTGCAAAACTGCTGAACCCTTTTTGGAAAACACAGTCTGTATAGAACAGATGTGATCACAGTGTTTGGCAGTGAAGGTTGATTAGAATCAAAGGTCCCCTGGAAAAAAGATAAAAATGTTGTCATGCCAAGTCTCCAACATATGTCATGGCCTTCAAAAGGTTATCTTGTCCAGTTCTAAAGTGTAGTTGACCAAATCATATGCCAGGTAAACACTTTCACTTTTTTCAATTACCTTAATTTGTTGCATCCAATTTCATACTGATCTTACAGATCTGAGACTGAACATTTCTAACTGCAGTTACCCCAGAGTAAGTCCTATTGAAACAATGATATTTTCTTAACTGGAAACATAGATTTCCAGTTAAGGGAAGGAATTTGTCCTGGGGTTGAAACAATGTACATAAATATTTTTGAAGTGAGCAAAAAACTGAGAAAATGTACATAGAATCAAACTGTGAGATTTTTTCATAATTGCCACTGAAAATGGGACTTTGATTTTTAATCAGTAGATTCCATCAACTAGCTGATATGCTGAAGGGAAGAAATGAATCCAGTTTTAATGGTGAATCTGAAAATGAAGAGCGCCTGGTACTTTTACATATTTTGAATCTATTGTTTTAATATAATTGGAAATGAAAAGGAAATCTTAAATTGAATGTGCAAGAAAATGCTCTTTGATCCCCTTTTTGATGATGTTCCATTCCATGTTCATTCATTTTTTTAAATGCCCCCTATCTCGCCAAAGGCAACTCTAGGCACCTTACAATCATTCAATAAAAATGCCATATAAAACATTAAACAATAAATAGAGATCTTACATTTAAAATTTAAGTAGTTAGCCCTGCTTCAGTGATTAAAAAAACCGAAACCTTATAAGATGTTATTAATAACAGAAAGAAATACAGTGACCTATAATTAATGCTAAATTATTAGTAACTATACATAATAATTCAATTTATCATGCACATTGCTAAATCTCTTCTAAAGCCTCTCTTAAATCTGCAATAATCATGCAGAGGGTATAATATTTTAGTTGTTTGCTTGGCTGGTGTTAGGGAGTGTCAGCTTGTGTACTGTCCCTTAATTTCAGGTGCAAGATTTTCAACATATTGAGAAAAGAAATACCCCAAATTGTAAAATAAAATCCAAACTAAACTTCACACTTTGTTTTGGAAGGGGAAAAAGGAGAGAAACTCCTCCTGAAATAGAAAAAAAATTAAAAATCCAGTTCTGCAGTATATGTATTAATAGTATGGCCTTTAGCCCTCTTCAAAATATTGTGCTAATGTAATTAAGACTCGGGTCTCAAAGAGGTCTGCAGGGGTCAAAAATTCCAAATGATAGTTATAACTGCATAATTGAAGTGCTGCCTCTTTTTTGATTGCATCAGGATCCGCCTATGAAAGGGGCGGGGTTTTGATGCTGGCTGTCATCTTGACTTTGTTGCCTCTCTTCTGCACACCTCTCTGGTTCCTCTGTGTAATTTATCTTCATATTCTTACAAAAATCATTGCATTCAAATTAATTGCTTTCCCCGGGATTTCCTGTTTTCCCTACCTTGGATGCTTCTTTTGAAGAAGGCTTTACAGCCTTCACATGACCAAACCCCATAATGATATCCAGAGGCATAATCGCTACATACAGCACAGAAATGTGCATCTCTTTTTGAACCAGGGCTGTTTGTGGTGGGACTGGTACAATCACTGCTGCTGTTTTTTCTTTTCAGGGTGTCTCTGGTGGCAGAAAAGGAGAAAATCTGTCATCAAATCATACAAAGGAATGTGTATTTTGCCTCAACAATGTTCTTTTTTTAAAAAAAAATCATCCACATGAAGTTTTTCAGAGTGTGAATTGCAGTAAAAGAAAGCTTAAAATTACAGAAACTTGCATGGATTAGAGTCATAAAAATATAATACTTATTTTTCAGAACGCGCCACAAGCATCAGCTATTAGAGTACGTAATTAAGCAGGAGTATTTGACAAGCATTAGATATGTGAAGTCAGATGTTTTGTTAGATTACAACTATCACATTCTCCTCCCAATCATACTAAGCAGTTTAGTTTGGGCTGGTGAATATAATAATTAGCACAGCGATTAAGCAGAATGAAGATTGCACAGTTAGGAGTTTATCAAAGACATGCAAAGTTACTTGTGCCATATTGTTTGGCCAAGTGAAGCAGTTCCTTAGGCAGGAAAAATCAATACCACAAAGAGTATTAATTGCAAAGCATTTTTTTATTATTTGTTTTTTTCATTCATTCATTCATTCACTTTTATTATTTGATTTCTTATTCTATTTTTATTGCCAGGGACAGGAGCAGGTGCTCCTGTGATAAATTTTTTTGACTGGTCTTGAATAGTATAGATTTTATTTTGGGATGAAGGGAGGTTGATTCCATTTGCTGTCCTTGCTATGGCTCTCTGGTTGTCCCATGGACACATTCCTCCAACAAATGTGCAAGAAGTAAGCTTTGGTCCACCAAATCAGAAATTTGATAAATGCAAGAACTTTTTTTAAAGACTAAAACATGCATTTTGTTCCCTTTTGAGGTCTGAAACATTGCTTTAGCTGCACAGCCATCCCCAGGGGGAAAGGAAGTAAAAAAAAAAGTCTAGAAAGCAGAAAAGAGAATTTCACTTATCATCATCAAAGTCTTCAAATGTTTCAGTCACACGGTTGAATCTTCCATCTCAATGTTTCTCAAACCTGGCAACTTTAAGACGTGTGGATCTCAACTTCCCCATGCTGGCTGAGAAATTCTAGGAGTTGAAGTCCACACATTTTAAAATTGCTAAGTTTGAAAACACGGCTCTAGCCTGACTCTGTTTTATTCACACACATATCCCAGAACATCCCTGCTTACATTTATACTTCATAGTACATATGAATTACAGTCTTTACCTCAGAGACAAACCCAGTGTCCTCTATTCTTTCTTGAGTAAAAGGGGATTTGATAACCTTCTCCCTTTCTTGTCAACAATCAGGGACAATGTGCAAGTCCAAAGGGATTTGAAGAATAGATGAGCAGAAGAGAAGCCACTACATTGAGAAGGCCACATATAAGCACCCATAGGTTTCTTAATTGTGACAAATATTTCAGAAAGAAGGAGAGGCTTAAGAGAGCATGTGTCCTTTTCTTAAAAAAAATTCTCCCAACTAAAGCAGAGTTTTATATGTCACATTTGAAAACAAAATCCTTCATTAGGAAAAAAAATAAAATAAAATGCCCTATGCTCACTTAATCAAGTAAAGGGAGGGGCCAGCTCCATGTAGTTCATATTCTTCCCATCTTTGAACTTTTAATTTAAGTTACAATTCATGAATTTTCAATACCACAATCATTGTTTCCATGGCAATAAATTGATATCATGAACACAGCATTAAGACGGCACCACAAAAATGAAACAGAAGGGGAAGTGCAACTGTGAAAGAGAATATGTGCAAAGGCAGAGCATTTTGAAGATGAGAAATCACACGTTACACTTACCCTTCAAAAGGAATGGAGGGTTTCATTGTACAATTCCACTCAAATAAGATATTCTGTGGTTTGCCGAGGAACTAAAAGTGTCCCATGTAGCCTTCTCCAGCCTGTTCCTTTCAGATGTGTTAGTTACTATCTCCCATGATATCTGGGGATGACAGCAATAAGACATCTTGTTGCTGACAAGCAACAGGACAGCTTGTTGCAGATGACTGAGACAGACCTGAAACAGTCTGAAATCCAAACTAGTCCCATCAACAGCACAAAATTTCTATTCTTACTTCATTTTTATCCCACCCCTTTTCAATAAAGAATCCCAAAATCTGTATGTAGATTCTCAATCATCCAGGTCATGGTTGTGCCAAGATGCTTTTCAAAAAAACCAGAAAGTCCAGTTGCCATTTGAAAAGCACCTTTGGGAGTCCCAAAAACGATACATGATGTTCTTATCCATTATTTTATAGCTGACCTCAGTCTTGCATGATAGTGGGAGACAGTATTTAGTCCAAAGTTCTTGGACTAAATACTTTTTCTTTTCAGGAATGGTCAAAACCATTTTGCTAGCTGAGGCAAAGGATAAACAGATGTCCTTCACCCATCTCACCAGCTACCAAGGAGCCTTGGTAGTACAGTGATTTAAAGCACCCTGTTATTAAGACCAGCTGCCTGCAATTACTGCAGGTTCGAATCTTGCCAAGGCTCAAGGTTGACTCAGCCTTCCATCCTTTCTAAGGTAGGTAAATTGAGGACCCAGTTGTGGGGGCAATAAGCTGACTTTGTATAAATATACAAAAAGGATGAAGGCTATTGCTTAGCACATTGTAAGCCGCCCTGAGTCTCCGGAGAAGGGCGGCATATAAATCAAATTTTAAAAAAAATCTCATACTGCTGAGGTGACTGGACTACCAGTCTTACTTTAATACATATGATGTGCTGGTTTCCTCACCGTATCCAGAGTCAGACCAGCTAAGAAGGATAGCTCATATTCAGGGTACATGCAATATTATTTTCTAATTAAGCAGGCTGACACAAAGAAAGTTCAGAGGGAACAAGTCCATCTTCCTCCAGGCAGGGGTGGAGGTTTTTCACTATGCCTAATAATCAGGGCCGGATTTAGATGAAAAGAGGCCCTAGGCTATTCCACTTATGAGGCCCTATAGTGAAAGTGTAATTTTAATTTTGCTAACAATTTGAATGTAGGCCCCTCTTGATCTTGAGGCCCTAGGCTGAAGCCTAGTTAGCCTACAGGAAAATCTGGCCCTGCTAATAATAGACCAGCTTGGCTCCCTATCCTAACCTCATTCAGGTATTTCACCATTTCCTAATTGTTACACCAGGAATCTTCCCATAGTCATTTTATTAGTAAACTGTTCTTGAACAAGTAGACTGTATGTTACTTGCAGAAGAAATTCTATATTATCCAGAAAATTTATCATCCTTTGTCCCATAACTTTAGTCTCTTTCATAGCCACTAACCTACTAAATCTCTATACTTGGAAAGATTTCTACCCTAGAGTTCCCTAATACCATTTTGATTTCCATGAAAACAAACTTATTTCCAAGCACAGAAGTTATACAATAAAGCTGAATGATGGGAAATTCAGAATAGATAGGAATTCTTAAAATGCCTCTGATTATAGGGGTAGTCTGAAATCAAATTCTGAGTGCTTCCAGAATGGTTGGAAAATTCCTTTTTAAGCTTAAAGCACTTGTTCCAAACTGAAATAAAGCTATTACCAAGTTGTAACATGTCCAGAATGGCTAGAACGCAAAGCTGGGCATTTAAAACTTCTAACTTCAAAATGCAAAATTAATACAAAATGCTTCGTGCATCTCTAGTAAATCAATTGAACAAAATAAAGTTACCACTACCACAGGATGAAACAATGGCCACAGATATGGACAGTCTTATCGTGGCATTAGACAAATTAATGAAGGATAGAAAACCATCAGTGGCTACTTGCCCTGATAGTTGTATATTTTCTCCAGCATCAGCCCCTCTGCATGCCAATGTGTGAGGAAAAGAGAAGGGTACTGTGTTAATGTCCTATTTGTGTACTTCCCCTAATTCCCAAGTTGACCACTGTAGGATCAAAATGCAGGATTTGTTTGAGGTTCCTCTTCTCCAATTGTACTGAGAGTCTATCATATGCTAATTCCACCCATTGCATATGGGAGAAAATGGATGGTCCAGAAAAATAATTCTCCAGAAAAAAGTAAATTATTTAATAAATATAGCTCCTTTTTTCCTAAAAGAAAAAAAAATCAGCCTTGAAATGAGAAATAATCCCATTGAACTCTATTGCTAGCATACATCACAAATACTATGCAGGTACAATTTTGCATTATCAAAAACTCAGTAATATTTTTAAAAATAGTCCTCTTCTGAATATATTTATTGCCCTTTCCCAAGATTTCTGTTCTCTTACATCCCCTAAATGTCAAGCCAAATGTCTGAAAATTCAAGTTTCATTTTAGCTCCAACTTCCAATATTTAAACCTGTGGCTGAACTGTGTTCAGCTATTCTCATTTAAATAAGAGTTACTTAAGAACATGAAAAAATATTAAGAAGTTTTTTTAAAAAAAAAATATTTCAAAGCAGACAGGCAAAATATATATTCATGAAGTATCTCTGATTGGCTGTCCCAACTTTGAAAGCAAATTGAAGGTAGAGGAAAGATCACAGAAGTAATTCTGGGGAAATAATTTGTGCTATTTTCTCCATTTAAATCAGATATGGGCCCTTCAAGCTGCTATCAGACAGATTTCCAAGTCTGGGAAAAGGCTTATCATCTTTTAGAAATCACTCTGTTTCTTTCACCCCATGACCTACATATAACCACAAATATTCAGACATTTTGCCTAGGCATTTGGGACTCTGTTTCTTGGTTATACTACACTGGATGGAATATTTAGCACTAGATAACGGTAGATAATTTTAAAAATTACCTGTGAATAGGCAAGACGTGATCCACAGGTCGGGCTTCACACCAAGGGCTTTTTGGTTGCTCTGCATATAAAACCGATGATTGGCAGTGAACTGTCAGAGGAGAGATGTGACCGGAACTGGACCACAACATGCTCGGACTCGCCGCCTGCCTTAAAGTGGCATTTTCTGAATCGTTGAAATTGGCCGGAATGTTATAATTCATCATCGAAGGGCTGTAGAAAGCCATGGCTGAGTAGTCCGGTCTGTTCTCCATATAACAGGATGGAATGTAGATCGGGCTGTGTTCCACAGTCAGAGCAGCCTGGCTGCAGCTGAAAGGGATGGGAGAGCTCTGCTCAGAGATGGCGCTTTTGGCTTCTCTTTTACTACATCCGAGTTCTTGAATTGGTGGCAAATGAGAACATTCCTTGTGAGACGATGCACAGAGGGACATGCTGGAGTGAGATGGATGCCAAATGTCGCTTTCTTAATCAGTCATTCCCCCAACATTTAATCTGGAAAACAGCAATGGTGAGGCTACATAAAATACATTTTTAAAAAAAGAAAATTCCCCCCACCTCACCCTCACTTCCTGGCCGTGCACGTCTGGGGCAACAATATGAACAGTAAGCAGCTTTAGCAGACCAATGACTACAGAAACAGTCCTACTCAAACATAAATGTGGTGATCCTATGAGAACCGAGAGTTCCACTGCCTGTGGATGGGAAAGGTAATTCTCTTGAAATCTCCCATTCATCTGAATCAGAGGTGGGTGACTTGAGGCTCCAGAGCCAGGTTTTAAAGAGTCTTCCACCCAGAGGTGAAATCCAGCAGGTTCTGACAGATCCTGGAGAACTGGTAGCGGAAATTTTGAGCAGTTCGGAGAACTGGCAAATACCATCTCTGGCTGGCCCCAGAGTGGGGTGGGAATGGAGATTTTGCAGTACCCTTCCCCTGCCACACTCACCACGCCACACCATGCCCACCAAGTCACGCCCACAGAACTGGTAGTAAAAAAATTTGGATTTCACCACTGCTTCCACCCCCAACTCAGGCAAAACTCAGCAGTATGGTTTCTCCCTAATTTGAGGCAAGAAGCACACAAAAACTACAGCATCAACAGCAATATTAGATTCAAGAAAGAAATACAGCCCAGGACTCCCAGTCCAAAACTCATGAATGAAAAATAAGGAAAACTTTGCTCTGCCTACATGCATACATGATACGACCCAACTTAATTTAGATCATGGCTTCACCAACTGTTTGGCTTTTGCCCTTTTAAAAAGAAGTGAGGCTTCCAGACTTCCAACGGCTGCTCATCTCCAATCAAAATAATCTACTAATAGTGACTAATACTGTTAATCTGAGGAAGGGGACAAGTTTCACTGTGAACACTCAAATATGTCAGTGCTGATGTTATGCCACATAGAAATGATATACATTCATCTGAGATTCATCCTACATTGGTAGAACCATGCTGCAAATTTCCAGGGTGGAGATACCCACCATGGTCATTTCAGGCCCAGAAAATTGCAGGTTGCATGATTGCAATGCTTCTCCAACCCTTAAGCATTTTGCTATCTGAGGTGAAGGGAAGCTGCCATTTTCACTTCACATATAAGTTACAAAAGTCAACCCAACTGGCAGTTAAATTATACTCTAATCAGAGGTGGGTTTCAGCAAGTTCTGACCAGTTCTGGAGAACCGGTAGTGGAAATTTTGAGTCTTTTGGAGAACCGGTAATAAAAATTCTGACTGGCCCCGCCCCCATCTATTCTCTGCCTCCCAGGTCCCAGCTGATCAGTAGGAAATGGGGATTTTGCAGTAACCTTCCCCTAGAGTGGGGAAGGAATGGAGATTTTACAGTATCCTTCTCCTGGAGTGGAAAGGGAATGGAGATTTTACAGTATCCTTCTCCTGCCATGCCCACCAAGCCATGCTCACCAAGCCATGCCACGCCCACCAAGCCACACCCACAGAACCGGTAGTAAAAAATTTTGAATCTCACCACTGGATTGTGAGTAACAAGAAGTCTGACAATAAGGCCATGATGGTACCATGTGGGTGGGCCAAAATGTTTTACCTCATTTTAAATTTGCTTTCTGGTGAGGTTATGTTAATATATTGGGCTGGGGGGGACGCATTTTAAAATCACAAGGACTGCCAATTTATTGCTATACTGCCTTGGCATGTTGACTAGAGACCTGGGGGAAGGGAGCTGCAAAGGAACCCATAGGTTGCAGCACTTGATGTAGGTTCCTAATGGAATATATTTTCATAGAAGACAATATATGAAGCTCAGGGTTATACATGTGATAGATAGAGTCTAGCACAGAATATCTTCTGCCTACTACAACATCTTCTTCTGGGTTTTTCCTCCAGTAGATATAAGAGTTGCCAAAAAATGTTTACTTGATATGTGCATTGGTTGATTGTTATTCTTGTTATTCTTCAAAGAGGTATAGTAAATTATATAAATAGAATAGTTTTCATATAATTTGGAAGCTATCTTGAGATCACCGCTTCTGAAGCTTAGAATATAAATCTTCTATTGATCAGGGGTCAGAAACTAAACTGGGAACTAGACCCTAATTGAAACTAACTGTCAGACCTGCCTCAATCCAATCTCCCAGAAAAGTAAAACTCTCGACTCCATTTGGTTGAAGTGAAAAGGCACTTTTACTAAGAGATGTTGGTTGCAGTAAAGTCAAGCGTAATCTAAAGGTCCTGCACATCAATACAGAACTAACCCCTGGTTTCCCCTAGCCCTCCCCCATGGTCCGCTGGTGTGTACCCAGTCTGACACTGCCAAGAAGTTTTGGGAAACACCGAGGCATTTGTGTTGGTGAAATTCCACTCTCCTTGATTGAAGATGCCAGTGTGCCAGCATGAACTGGATTCCAAAACACTCTGTTTTTCCTCAATTGTCTGTCCCCCTCCCAATTTCCCATCATAAAGGTATACAACTTTATTGCCCCTTTGTTCCCCCCTCCCTTCCCCAATTGATAGCAGCATGCCAGCAAGGCGCCAAGCCGAAGGTGGTAGATCTGACACTAACACTGGCTTCCTCTCATTCCCACCACTATCACCATTACCCCATTCTATTGTTTAAAAAGCATTTCAATTCTTACTTTGTCCATCAATCTTTGACTTTTTAAATGGCTTTGAGCCCCTTTCCTGCTTATCCCTTGGAGTCAGTCCCAGAGGCACAGAGAAGGAAGATAATGCAGTAGGAGTAGCAATACGCTGCTCAGCTACAAGTGGAAAGGGGTAAGGGTCATACCATTAACTGAGATATTCAGAATGGAGGGGAGAATAGAAGAGGCCAGGACTAAGAGTAAACAAGAACTAAGGAGATAGAGTGCCAACTTACAATATTTAAAGCTTCCTAGAAATCCTAGTTCCTCAGTCAAAAAGTTAAATGAAATGTGTGATAGGGGCTTTGAGTAGCATAGGTAATAGTATTTCTCCTGCAACATCCTCAGTCACTGAAGCCTACAAAGTCCTTCATGGCAAAGGGCCAGATCTGTATGACCACATCTTCAATCATCTCTGCTTATCCACTGATTGTATCCATATGGGTATCCAGATCCCTTCTAGTAAGTCATGACGTTTAATGGTACCCAGGAAATATGTGTGCGATATCATGGCACTGATCCTATGGAACAGGATCAGCACAACTCCTGAGATTTGGAAGGCCCCGACCCTCTTGGCTGTTTGTAAAGCACTGAAGAGCTGGTGCGTATCAAGTAGATGGCCATCTGTGACAATGTACCATGGAGAGCCTACAGCCTCCACAAACTAGGAATTGGCTTCAGTCTAAATAATTAGGACAGCTAAAAGAGCGTCCATCTCATACTTGCTAAAGACAGACTGTCTTGTTGGTACAAAATAATAAATCTCCTCTTTACTAGAAGAAAACACTACTGCAGGCAGCGGAGGCTTATCTTTTTATGTCACCAGTCTTAACATCTCATCTGATCATTCCAACATTAGAGGTGAAACTGTTTCCTTCAGTTTTGAATTCTAACCGTTATTTCGGCAATCTGTTGATTCGTAAACATTTGTTGCCAGCATATTTCACCAATTTTCATTTCATCCTCACTTCTATAAGAGGATGTTGCCTCAGCAGGGAGCTAAATCCAATTGACACTTTAAACAGGCTGGAAAGACCAGAGAGATGATGAGTTATAAGATGCTGAATGGACTGTTATAAGCCCTTAACCTCATTTTTGCAGTCTTAAACTTTTGCGGAGCCAGGGAGACAGATTGCTGATCTGTTGAGGCAGAACAGGCTTCTGTTGCCTTCTGCTGGGAAAGCTCTGAATACAGCACTGACTACCCAACCCTAAGATCACTTACACAAGGGCCATGTTGGCACATGTGCCACAGGTGGCACACGGAGCCATATCAGTGGGCACGTGAGTTCAGCTCTGGCACACATGCGCACACCAGCCAGCTGATTTTTGGGCCTTCTGGGCCCACTGGAAGTTGGCAAACAGGCTGTTTCCGGCCTCCAGAGGGTCTCCAGGGGAGTGGGGAAGGCCATTTTCGCCCTCCCCAGGTTCCTAGAAAGGCTCTGGAGCCTGGGGAGGGCAAAAAATGGGCCTACCGGGCCCGCCATGCCATCGCATGCCAAAAGCAAGGGAAGCGCAGGGGGGATCACGCACACATGTGCAGGGATGAGGAGCATAGAATTATGGGTGTGAGCACACACGCGTGGGAACCCCCTGCACTTCCCCCGCTTTTGGCACGCGATGGCATAAAGGTTAGCCATCACTGCACTAGGGTTTCCTCAACCTTGTGAATCTGGGTTAAAGTCCACACATCCTAACATTGCCAAGGTTGAAAAACATTGACCTACACTTATCTTCTCCAAACTGATTGTCTGGGATTGGTTGAACATATTTGGAGGGCAATTAGTTAGAAAGGCTAGCCTATACAAGGCTCCTGTAAAACATGCTAATTTCTGGACTAGAATTTCCAGATCAAGGTTTTCACGCACTGTGAGTACCGTAGAAATTTTTATTTCCTAAACAGAGGGGAAAAAATAGAGGTTTTCAATATATGTAGGTAAATATATCATAGACATTTCCCATGTGGTTTTGATTATTTTCCCTTTGGTTATTTTCTTTCTAGCTGATTAATTTTTAAATCAACACAGGGAAACCAAGAAATAACAGAATAGCCCTTAAATGCAGAGAAATCTCTTCCCACTCCTGTTTTCTATCATTTTCCAGGCAAAACACCAAAGCAACACATTTAGTTGACTTGCAACAAATATTTGGTTCTCTTTGTCCCAGCAAAAACATATTCAGTTTTCCTAATATCTTTGGCCCATTAATACCAAAGGAATTAATTACTTTGCAATTTCATAATATCAAAGACATTGATTTTCTTAGTCAATCAGAAAGTAGAAGCCAATATGTTCTAGTGCAAGGAATTGTGGCAACTTTAGCATGTGAACTTTTACAGATTACTCTTGTGTTTGCAAAACAACTGAATCTTACACTGTGGCTCCAAATCTTGTATTAGGATAGCCAAAATACAGTGCTGATAAGCTTAATACACCTAGCGAGATTATTGATAGGTAAATATTGGAAAAATGAAGCTTTGCCCACTATCGAGGAATGGACTTTGAAGATGGCCAGTTTTGCAGAGATGGTGAAGATTTCAGCATATTTAAAAGATCGCTCACAAGAGACTTATGAATGGGAGTGGAAAAAGTGGATAGATTATGTGCAGAATAAATATCAAACTAGGAAGTATCAAATAGCTTTTCACTGAAAGTATTATATAAAGATAGAAATATTTGAGTTTTGTGAAGATGAAAAATTATATGGGGGATGGAGGGGTTCAAGTTTTATAAAAAGGGGGTTTTGATTGGATTATATTCTATGGAAGTCCGGGGGTTTGGGAGGGTTAGGGGGGGTTGGGGAGGGTTAGGGTGGTTGGGGAGGTTGGGGTGGGTTGGGGGGGGAAATGGAGTGAAAATGTAATTGTAAAACTTTTGCAATAAAAAAAAAATACACCTAGTGTTGAAAAAAATAAATGACCTAGTAGGATGTCTAACAAAAATGTTTTGCTATTATACAAAGGATCATCCAGATGTCTTCCTCATGTAATTTGAATATCAGTTTAGTTTAGAGGTTTGATTTGGTTTAGTTTAGTTTGGCTTGGCTTGGCTTGGCTTGGCTTGGCTTGGCTTGGCTTGGCTTAGTTTAGTTCCGTATGAGATCATTATGGCTGAAGATTTTAATCAAGTTTTAAATCTTTTTTTGTAGATTATAATATTGTTTCAGCTATGTTTAATTCTCAAATGAGAAAAGAAGTATTGTATACTTATATGTTGGACTTTAAATGGTAAGGTTGCAATCTTTGCCAGAGAGGATATGTCTTTTTTCCCTAACTCTACATCAGATTTATCCCCAGCTTGATTATTGTTTATTATCTCAAACCTCAGCTGATCAGATGTAATCTATCTGATCATGCTCCAGTAACACTATCATTTGTTGTAAGAAAAAATTGTCCTAATTTTTTTCAGGATGGTATTTTAAAATAGTATTATTAAAGAATGACTCACTTTTTATAAAAGAGAGAAAACAAGAATTTGATTTTTTTTAAAATAAACAGACACACACAAATGAAGCCCTCTAAGACATAACTGCAACCTTCTTTTCTACTGGACTACAGAGTCCAGAAGACTTCCAAAAATAATCCTGTTTTGCACAGGGAGCCCAATTCTGTCAGAGATGGAATATCCCCAGAATTAGCGGGGGATCAGGTTTGACCCTGAGCTTGTCCGCATCATCCAGCCCCCAGCGGTCTCCAGTTAGGGCTACTGCAGCCCAGAGTGACCATTATTTCTAATGTTGGCAATGTTGATATAAATAGATGGTTTAAATTCAAATTCAAATATCTTTCTTTTGGTCTTTGCCCAGTCTATAATAGATGATTTAAATCCTATTTTAAAATAAATAGGATTTTGTAAAGATGAATATTACTGATATATGTCCTTAGAAAGTTTCCTATGCCAGCAACTTTAAGGTATTTCAAGTGTTTAATTTCTCCTTGTCATTGCTAAGAACAAATCCCACTCATTAGGAAAGTCTATAGAGTTAATTCTTTTCCAGGAACAATTGGAAGAAATTGTCAATTCAGTTTCTACAAATTTAAAAAAAGAATTTTGTAAGACCAACTGTGCCCACTTCTGTGCAAATCATTGCAATTTGTCTAGGAGACATGGTTTAATTAATCAGCCACTGGGGTACATTCAAGAGAAAATACTGATGTTTCTCCATCTTTCTTTAGTCATCCTAACAAGAGATATTTGTTGACCAAGTTGGCAGAAATTCTAGGTACTATAATTCCACTATAGCTGAAGGACTCTAGATAGGAGGAAGCTGTTCAAAAACATAAACCTGGATTGTTCCCAAAATCAGATTCCCATTAAAAGAGTTTAGCTTACCTAGACAGCATCTTCTGAGAACAAAATACATCTTAAAAGAGATTTCTAAAACAATAGAAAATACAATTGTTAATCAACACATGTGCCTGTAAATTAAGCCTAATTCTATGTTTGTACCGTAATGTTTTTTCCCTGTTTATCTGTCTTCATTTCTTTCCCCAGAATTTCTCTAAATGCCATATTCTATCTTGCAGTGTTTGTTTTTTTCAGTTGAGCACACAGTGGCTAATCCAGATTAATCAGAAAACAGCAAAATTCCACTTTAACTTAAGTCTACAAACAGGCAGATAATCATCTTAACCATGCCATGAAATATACCTTTAATAAAATAAACAGTACAAAAGTACATGTTTGGTCTTAATTCAGCTGGACCTCCTATCGATTAATTGATCATGTGCTACCAAGTCAGTGTCACCTTTTAGTGACTTCATAGATTGACCTTTTTCAGAATAATAGATGTCCTCATCGTAGCCTTTCAAATTTAATTTTTCCAATTATGCACCCAATGCTAATATCAAATCCATGCACTTTGGTGTTGGTTCTCCTCTTCTCTTTCTCTTGAGAATTATAGACTTCTCAAGAGAGTTAGATCTTCATACAAAGTGTCCAAAATATGATAATTTGAGCCTGGTTATTGATGCCTCAAATGAGAAGCCTGGATTGATTTATTGTATAATCCATTTGTTTGTTTTCATGACTATCCATGATATTTTCAAGAGCCTTCTCCAACATCTGAATCAGAGGTGGGTTTCAGCAGGTTCTGACCAGTTCTGGAGAACCAGTAGTGGAAATTTTGAGTATTCGGAGAACCGGTAGTAAAAATTTTGACTGGCCCCGCCCCCATCTATTCTCTGCCTCCCAAGTCCCAGCTGATCAGGAGGCAATAGGGATTTTGCATTAACCTTCCTCTGGATTGGAGAGGAAATGGAGATTTTACAGTATCCTTCCCCTGCCATGCCCACCAAGCCACGCCCACAGAACCAGTAGTAAAAAATGTTGAAACCCACCACTGATCTGAATATCTTTTCCAAAGCTTCATAAGTAACCTACTATGTACTAGTGTGCAACATAGTTCCTTACTGCTGGTTTTTAAGATGATCTTAAAAGCCAGACTGTGAATTGTAGTCTTGTTTTAGGCATGAAGCCAGCTGGGTGACTTTGAACAAATCACTCTCTGTCAGCCCTAGAAAGAAGGCAATGGCATTGCAGTCTCCAGCCACAAACAGCTAATTTTGTTTGCGTTTTCTGTCAATTTCAGATTTAATTTGACCACAAAATTCATTACTCTCCTCTTACTAAGATCTCAGGTAGAGATCTCCCCCCTCCCCTGATATTAGCACAAATTTTACATTATATTTACAGCACATGCATTGTTGCCATTCAATCCTTTCCTTAATCCCAGAATTAGACAACTCAACAATGTTTAATTCAGTTTAATTAATTTTTTCATATCAGCCATATTAGCCATGTAAATCCAAAAATTGCAATATATAAAATGAATAGTAACAAAATTGGATGTTACAGATTATAGAAAAACTGTGTTTAATTGTAATGTAATTATAGCGATTGTGTATGGTATAAATTTACAAGATGAAATTCATATGATATAAATAATATTACAGCATAAACTGCTGATTGAGTAGGATAATGTTTCTCAGCTTTTACTGACAAATTAAAAAACCCCAATATTTTAATTTCTTAACAACAATACTTAATATTATCAGCTTTATTGATTTACTGATGTGTTATACTTGATATAGTTTTATTATAATTAAGAAGTCTCCATTAATTTGAATATATTGTTTCTGTTTATATGGAAATACAGTCAATACAACTATGAAACAAGAAAAATAATTTTAAACAAAATATTAAAATAGAATAGAGGCTCAGGCTGAACAAAGATATTTTTCAATTGCTTAAATCAGCATTCGTAGATACTTTAAAAAGATAACCCTTGCTAAACATTCATATATAAATACAGTTGGATGCAAAAGAAAAGAAGCTGCTATGAAAAAGAGAGCAAAATCTGTTTAACAGCTAAGAAACAGCAATGATGGAAAACATCTGTGGCTGTTTCAGTCATTTTATTTTTTTTAAAAAAAATAGTTAATTAAAATACACAAGCAAATAGGAACTTGTATGTGGAATAAACATGAAAACAAAAGTTAAGGGAGAAATTGGCTAAGTAAAATTTTTAGATCTAGAATCCGTATATTAAGAGAGTTGATGAATATGCTGAATATTATAAATTACATTTTAGAGAGCTGCAATAGAAGGAAAAGCCACCAAAATCGGAGTAGATGTTGTCAATTTAATGTGGAGTGCTATCTCCTTTACACTGCAGTTGCTGTAAGACACATTATACCGTGTTTGCTAGGCTTCCAATCATTGAAAATATTTTTTAGTAAGAGAGTAAGATTGCCAGAGAAAGACAGAGAAAGATCCATTCCATGAGCTTGCCAGATACTCAGAAAGCATTTGATTTAGTTCTCTTTTGGGGGGGTTGGGGGGGGGAATGCAATTAATCATATTACTTTCTTAATATGTAACTTAAATAATAAAACTGATATTGAATAATAAAACTGTGCCATGACTAAAATTATATTGACTTCAGTTTTTCTCATAAGAAAAGCAAGGTAAGGGCACGAATTTAATTAAAATAAAAGAACAATAATATCCAATATAAGATTTCATGAAATATCATCTCCACAAACTTTGAAAGCGGGTTCTTACATTATTTTTATGGTGCTATTCTGTGTTTCTAATTATTCTATTTTGTTCTCCCATTGCCAAGATATCAACTATTCTCAGATCAAATACAGAATCGATGCAGATGTCATGGTCAGAGAGATTCATAGACAAATAATTAAATTGGGATAAACACAAAATACATCCATACATAAACAGGAAATAGATGGTATCTGAAAGAATGATCTGGAAAATCTACTTTAAGGTCTCTTACTTCCATAATATGATATTGGTTGTTGCTAAATGAGGTAAAAAAATGTTTTAAAAAGACAAGTGAAGAAAAATTATATTTATTACAGTAAGATTGAATAAAGACATTGAGATTTTGCAGATGTTTCACAAATAATGTGAATACCCTGTAAATCCAAAGCAGCATGAACGAATATTTGTTTAGTTGCTATTCGTTAGCATTTCAACTAAGCCAAAGCATGTAAAATTGATGCATAATTCACATATTCTTCCTGATATTTCTTGTTTTTCTTCTGTTGCCTTCATGTGTAAAAAAAGTTTTATAAAGTCATCATGTTATTTATTTATTTTTATTTATACACTGTTCCATGTCCTGAGCCCCAAGTAATTCTCAGAAAAAGGACAATATCTCATCAAACTTTCAACAATAAAAAATCTGCATAAAATAATGTAGAACTGCCTGGGGGGGCCTTATGGTTGGAGGGGGTACTTTGTGTCAGCAGAATACACAAACATTAGAGATCGCAGTGATACCAATGCACAGTGCATCAATTTTATGCTTCTATGGATTCTTAAAGCACGTTTTGATTATTATCTATTCAGAATGAGTTTTTTGCCTTAACCCTAACATGTTAAAAATTGCAAAGTAGTGCAAAGAGACAGGAATTCATGACTGATATTATTAGGCTGTGTTATGTGAGAAGAAATGTTGACATTAAGTTCAAAATATGTTCTTTAAAGGGAGATTTATTTTAAAGGATACTAATATTGCCAAAAGAGATTGATGGCATCCCATCTGGCATGGATATCTGGGATCTTCTCAGACGTTTATAGTATTGATCCCCAAAGCCCTTTGCCAATCATCAGAAGTCATTTTTAAGAATAAAAAATACATTATTTCCTACTGATTATATTTTCTCCCTCTGTTTTGGTTCATCAGAAAGATGCATTTTCTCAAAAAGAAGACAGCTGTGAATTTAAGATGGCCCACATAGTGAAACATAAAAAAGTAGACAAAAAGGAAAATGATAAACAGAAACAAAACTTGTGTGCAAGGCCCACCGATCCAATATTTCAATTCCATGAATGTGTACACAGTTATACTGTGTAGGACTATATGTATGTGAATATACAGGATATAAGTGCAAGAAGTCACTAACTGATAAGCTAGCACTGCCTGAATTCAAATCTACTCAGTAAATTGTTCGTAAAATTAATCAATTCCCTCATCTGTACATATCTACCTGTCTCTCACACAGAGAGAAATAACTTTTCCACAAAGACGCACCAAGTGCACGCACACCATCCTACTTCAACAGAAACAGCAAAACAGAAGGGAAAAAATACCCTAAGATGCCCCAGATGTGGGCAGAGAAGCTGGACAATAATTTCACTACATTTCTTCCAGAAGAATAAAAAATCCACAGTCCTTCCTTAGGGAAAGTTTCATCATCTATATTTGTCTGTTTGTGGTTTTCTTTTTTTAGCAGGCTGCTTCAACTCTTCTTCTCTGCACCAGTTAAACAGCCTTTTTGGAGTCCTTTCAGAAATTTGAAGTTGTCAAAAGGCCTATGAATCCCTTCTTGACTTATCTCTGCTCAGTATCCTCTCCTGCAGAACTGCTACAGACGTAAAATTTAATATGTGGACTATGAAGTGAGGAAAAGCTCCCTATCTCTCACGGACACTTGCAGAAGCAGGAGAGAGCTGTTCTCACCCACTCTCCCTATGCCTGAAGGAAGAAATGAATACTGGCTCCTAAAAGTAGTGGGTTAATAGAAAAAGTTTACATTTTCCAACCATTGATTGTGCTGAATTATCACCATCACAGATACCACAAATTTAAGAAGAATGAAGCTTTCATCTTGGATTCAAAACAAAGCACATTTTGAAGAAAAGCAAATTCTCCTCCTATCTGAAATATGAAAGTGAGTTCTATGATTTTTATGTGCAAACATATGCATGCCTCTTATACTTGTCTTCTGTCATCAAAACCCTCATCACTGTCACCTTAGATTTGCATATTTGTCTTGACCAATTCACTAGTTTAATGAAAGATTAAAGAAGCAATTGAGCTTCTGGATATTATACCACATAATGTTGCAGTC